CGCCCCGCCCCGCGGTAACCCGGCCGGACCCCACGGCCCACGCCCCGCCCCGCGGTAACCAGACCGGACCCCACGGCCCACGCCCCGCCCCGCAGTAACCCAGCCGAGCCCCATGCCCCACGCCCTGCACCTTGATGGTGCCCAGCTTGAAGTCTTCGCCGGAGTCGTTGTAAACGATGGACACAAAGTCGTTGCCCAGGTGACGCTTCTTGTCACAGCGGTGCTTGTCCCCGTCCTTGGTGGGCATCAGAGTGGCAATGTGGAAGACCGCTGCAGGAGTGAGGCAGGCTGGATGTGCAGGGCCCTCGAGGGGTGCCCGCCCAAGCACAGTCCCGGCGAAGCCAGGGTTTGTAGGGCCTGCAGGAGCCCTGTTCTTCGCTGCCCAGCCAGTGGCACAGCTCCCCTCCCTTAGACTTGCAGAGGCAGAGCCACCAGACCACCATGGCCTCACTGCCTAGTCTGGCCGCCTGGGCCTAGCAATCCTGGGAACGGGACACCGCAGGCCCGGCGCTCCTGGGAAGGGGGCGCTACGGGTCATACCTTGCATGATGTCGTCATGCCAACAGTAGGTGAACTGGCCGTCCTCACCGCCCACGTCCAGGCCGCCCAGGTACACCTTGTCAGGCTGGCAGTCCTTGAGCTCGATGAGCTTGCCCAGGCCCGTGAGGAATTCCGTGTACCTGTAGGAGCCGTGCTCGTTGGAGAGAATGGCGAGCTCACTGTTGCTCTGTGGGGAGATGGGAGAACGGTGGCACCCAGGGCTGGCGGCTCTGACCAGCCACCTTCTGCCCCACCCCAGTGCCACCCTAGGACAGTCCTAGGGCCAGAGAACCTATCATCATAGGGGGTGACATGGGGGCACCGTGCCTCGGCCATCCTCTGGCTCAGTGCATAGCAACTCCCCAGCCAAACAGCCAGTATCATTCTGACTTCCCCTTTCTCACACCCTCCAAAGGCAGTCAGTAGGCAAATCCGGTCAGCTCCGACTCCGCCTTCCCCACGGTGCCGCCCAGACAGTCACAGGCCCTCCACAGGCCCCACCCAGTAGTCCGCTCTCCACGTCACAGCTGCTCAGACCCACCCTAGGCTCCCTGCCCTGAACATCACACACAGGCGAGTGGTGCCCGGCCAGGCTGCCTGCCGCTGACCCCGCCGCAGGCTCAGCCCCACGGCTGTCCTCGATCCCCCAGGGCCCTCGCACTGGCCGTTCTACATGGTCACTGCTCGCCTGCCTCGCTTCCTGCCCACCTCTGCTCCAGTGTCATCTGACTTGGGACCCCCAGGCGGCCAGCACCCTCCCCCCAGCACCGTCTCCTCTGCCTGACACCCACTCCGATAGGCCTCAGCTCCCTCTACCAGGCCCACGGCCACCCACTTCTCTGTCCTCATAACAGTGCCTGGCACAGGGCCCAATAAGCATCTCTCAGGGAACCTATGCCAGGGCTCAGCTCTCTGGAAAACGGGGGCCCAGACCACCGTCCCCAGGCAGGGAAGCCAACTGCTGACCCCTGCCTCCCAGAGCCTCACCTGGCCCTCGCCCACGTACAGGACGGCGATCTTGTGTGTGTCATATGAAGGGATCTGGTCAAGGAGCTGTACCGAGCGCTCAAAGGACTGTAGACAAGAGCCCCGCCTGAGTCAGAGACAGGGCACCCCTGCCCCCAACATGCCCTAGCCACAGGGTGCACGCGACCCCACAGGGCCCAAGGTGCTGCAGCGGGCACCCACCTCGTTGGGTAGCAGAATCGGCTTGTTGGACTCGTCCCCAAAGAAGGGCGAGTGGTAGAGCTGCAGGAACACAAAGCTGCCGAGGGAGAGGTATGACACCAGGCTCACAGTCACAGCCTGGGAGGGGCCTGGCCCAGCGCTGTCTCCAAAGGCGTCTACTGCAGGGCACGAGGCCCTCGCCCCCAGACCCCCCACAGCCAAGCAGGGCCAGCCTGAGGGCACAAGGCCACGGGCCCCGTAGGGAGCACGTCCAGGAGCCCCAGCCCACCTGGGATTGATGCCTGGCACCTTCTCTGCATTGGAGGCGGCAGCTCGGCTCTTGGAGGCATCCCTCGCCACTGTCTTGCCCCTGCGCAACTGGACCGGGTCAGAGATGGTGTAGCCTCGGGGCCGCAGGCCGTGTGGGGAACGCGGGGAGCCGCAGGGCAGTGGGCTCTCGTGCTGGGCAGGGCTGCGGGCCCGGCCCTCCTCGCCTGGGGCCGGCCAGGCGGCACGCTCCCCGTCCAGAGTACCTGACTGCGACCGGGCCTTGGCCTCGGGGCTCAGCCGGCCTACTTCAGCTTTGTCCCCAGCATCCCCAAGGATATCCTGCAAGGTCTGCAGCTCAGGTGAGGAACTAGACTTGCTCAGGGGCTGCGAGGGCTGGAAGGAGAGGTCCACACATGGCTGGCCACCCTTGGAGGACACCACCCGCTCGATGGGGATGCCCCCGGCCACCAGCTCCTCTGCGCACAGTGGCTTCTCCTCCTGGCTGGAGATCGAGGACGACTGCAGAGGGACCATCCAGAGACAATCCTGGTCAGGAGATGCCTTGGAGCCCACCTGGGGCTTCCCCACCTGTCCCGCGGCCCAGGGCTGCAGAGCCGCCCAGAGCTGGGCCTCAGACTCAGCCCCCCAGGTGCTGCAGCCCCGCCACACTTACCCTGCTATAAGCATCGACACGCTGGCAGTGCCTGTCTGGGCCTGGGGCCGCCTCGAAGTCCTCAAGCTCAGGGAGCTCGGCGGATAAGTTCGCCTCGCCTGCACGTCCCTCCTCCAGAACCGCCGGGGAGTCTGGGAGGACAGACAGCTGTGGGTGCCAGTGGCCCGCAGTGAGTGCACGTGGTCTCAGGCACCAGCCTTTTCCCTACCAGCGGGGACAAGGCCCCTGCGGGGCCTGCTCAGAGCCTCTCCTGGCCTGCATCTAGGCTGTTCCACCCGTGGAGCCGACGGGAAGGGAGCCTCACGGGGGCTGCAGCATGAGCCTAGACACAGGGAACCTCCTAAGCCCCACTGTCCTGGCAGCCAGGCGCTGGCTGTGTCCCTCAAGTATCCTCTGGGAGACACCGTCCTCTCTTCCTCCCGCAGGGCAGGCAGGGCGGCTTTCCCTCGAGAAGGCAGCCCTGTCCGAGGCGGGCCCAGCAAAGAGGCCCAGGCTTCCTCCCCAACCTCGGCCCTAAAGAAAAGGCTGATGCCCAAGCCGTCCTTGCACACAAACGTACACTCGGTCAGCCAGTCTGAAAAGCAAGGCTTGCTCCAGGTCCGAGCCAAACCCGCGGCCAGCCACGCTAGAGAGGGCGCGGCAACTGGGGCGGCACTTCCTGTGCCAGCGGCAGGCGCTAGTGAGGCCAAGCAGCAGCAGACAGCTGGCACAGCCCTGCACACCCACACGTGCACACACAGCCCACCAGCTGCCCGCAGGACCTGTCTGCACACTGCCCTACCACGCCGAGGGGCAGCGGGCAGAGGCCAGTCTACAGGGCCCTGGGCCACACCACATGGAAGGAAAACACAGCCCATCTGCTAGTCCACAAAGCCAATCGGACCACCCGAGGCCAGGGCGAGGTCAGGCCAGCCGAGCCCCAGGGTTGGTGAACCCCAAACAGCTGCTGCCAGCCAGCCTCTGTGGCTCAGAGGCCAATGTCACCAAGGACACCTGTGGCCCCTTGCTCCTCAGCCTGCAGAAGGGCGTGAGGGGCACACAGCTCGGGAGCAGAGCTCAGGCATGGGGCACGAGGCCGGGGTCCCGCCGGCAAAGCAGGTGGCATCTGCACGGACGTCCTCATGCGAGTCGCGGCCCTGCTCCCTGAGGGTGGGCGGCAAAGGTGGCTCCACGGAGCCCACAGAGAGTGAATGGGTGGGGGCGATGAGAACAGCGTCTAGGGGCAGAGGACCTCTGCAGCCAACAGCGCTCCCCTGAGCCGCGCGAGTACCTGCCCAGGAAACGCTCCTGTGCAGCTTTCCTTGGCAACTGGACTGGCTCAGGGAGGAGAAAGAGGCCACTGCAAGGGAAACCACGTGAGCTGCCACGTCACAGGAAGGACAGACTAGCACAGGTCGAGCAGAAAGGACAGTCACCACTAGCCCTGCACAGGCCCGAGCCCTGCAGAGGAGAGAGGGAGGCCAGCGGCACCAGGCCTGGGGGCTGATCGTGGCGCACACGGGGCCTAACCTTCCTTCTGAGGCCTAGCGCACGTCGGGTCCGCCACCCCTCAGCTCTGCATCTGCGGCCACGGGAGTGGGGGTGGAGGCGAGCAGGCCCAGGCCGCGTGCTCCAGCAGCCTCCAGTGCTAGAGGCTGGCAGTGCCGAGAGGCGCTCAAGGACCCCAGGGCTGTGTGGAGACCTGGGCATGGCCCCACAGCCGAGGGAACAAGCTGCCAGCCAGCAGGGAATGCCAGCCACGGGGCAGGGAGCAGGCGGGGCAGGGAGCAGGCTGTGCAGGACCTGGTCCACCGTGCTCACCTGTGTTGGAGCGGGGCAGGAGACAGGGCTTGGAGGTCCTGGCGGCTGGCACCGACAGTGACTTATACAGGGCCGTGTCACGGTGCTCCTTGAAGCGCTCAGCGGCCATGAGGGCGTTAGACAGCTCCTGCAGCGGCATGTTGTTGATGTCCGAGGAGAAGGGGCTGAGTGGGTTCTCCAGGCTCATCAGCCAGCTGGTGTTCCCTGCGGGGCAGGGGGCGGGGGGCAGCATCCCTCAGGCTTGGGGCCCCGTGGCTTGACCGTGGCGCTTCTGACCAACATCTCTCCCCTCAGCGGGCGGCTCCCAGGCGCCATCCTCAAGAGCACAGGCCTTGCCTAGGGACAGCCTGGGCTGCTCACCCTCAACCACAGAAGCCCCAGGGAGCGGGGTTGGGGAAGCCCACACACACCCCACCTTGCAGAGTCCTGGGACCCACCCAAGGCCCAGCGGCGCCTCTCAACATCACCCCTTTCAGCAATGAGCACTGAGGGCTGGTTCACAGTGGCCCTGCCACCCCAGGTCTGCCCCCTAGCAAGGCCAGGCCAGACTCCTCCCCAAAGGGGTAGGTGGGCACACCCGAGGGAGATCATGCCTCAACTCGGTGGCCCTCCCTGCACGCCCAGGACCCAGGGTGTGCCATGACCCCGCATCCTGCCCGCAGGCGTTCTCCTCAGGTCTCCTGCCTCCCTCCTGCCCACTCCCCGCGGGAAGAGGGGCCTGAGCCCACATCTGGGTGCAGAGCCCCTCCTGGCCAGCCCCCCGGCCCCCTACAGCTGTGGACACTGAGGCGTCTCCGAGGCCAGCAGCCCTCCCCCCTCCTCCCATGCTCCAGCCAGAGTCCCCAGGGCACCGTGGGTCTGGACCTCAGAGTCTTCCCTTCTGCCCACTCTGCACCAGGTCCCCCCTTGCGGTGTGTCTGTAGGAACCGATCCATGGCCTCCCAAGTGCTCCGTCTCACTGGGCTCAGAGGAAGGCCCGCCCTCTCTACCTGTGGGCCTCCGGACCAGGATCTCAGCCCAGCCCTGGGTCAGCAGGGGCACGTAGGCAGCCAAGTTCGTCTTTTCCTTCGGCACCGGCGTCTGGGCACTGGTTGAGGCTTTCTCAGGCTTCATGGCCGGCATGGCCTGGGGCCCCGGAGAAGTGGGGCCTCCTGGGAAGTGGGAGGCTGGAGTGTCCAGGGCACCCACGCGCAGGCCATGGCCCCCTGGAGAGGGAGAGGCCGGAGAGCTGGTGACCACCGCCCCATGGAAAACCACCATACAGGGTCAGCTGCTCCTCCCAGGGCCCGAGGGAGCCATGGCGGGCGGCAGCCCACCCTGGTGTGGCACAGGAAAGACCCCGCCCGCCCCACGGCAGACCCTGGGGGGCGGGGGCAGGTCAGCACGTGGGTTTGGCCTGACACTGTCCCTCCCAGTCCGCGGCTCCAAGGGGCCTAGCAGAGCACGAGGATGGCACAGGCAGGAGCAGCAGGGTGCAGAGGGCCTACCTGACATGGAGCGGACCCGGTCCCGGGCCCCGCGGCACACCTGCACCCCAGCCTGGGACTCCAGCTTGGCCGGCGCCTCTTTCGTCTGTCTCACGTGCATGCTGGGGTCTGAACTGAGGACAGAGGAGCACCACAGATAGATGAGGTCCCCTCTGCGGTCTGCAGACCAGCCACCACAGAGGCCGAGGGGGTGAGGGCCACAGTCACCTCAGCTCTGGGCCGCCCTGCAGCTCGCCCGGGTCTAGGCCCAGCAGCGACCGTGTGCCAGTCCCCACGCTCGTTGTCACGGTGACCAACTTGTTCCCCACCAGCCAGGTTTTGGTCCTGCCTCCGGCCAGGAGAAATTCTCCCACAGGGGACCTGCAAGCACAAGGACTGGCCCCTGAAGGCTGGTGACCGCAAGCCGCGTGGCCACACCCTGAGCACAGCTGAGCCTCGGAAGCCCAGGGAGGCCTGGCACGCAGGGGAAGGACCCACGGCTGCATGGCAAAGTGCGAGCTGAGAACGGTAAGCCAGGAGTACTGTGCTGCCCGCTCTCCCGCCCCAGCCCAAACGCGGGCTCGTACCTCTTGGGGACAGCCGTGAAGTTGGAGAACACGTATCTGGCCATCATGTCCAGGCATGTCTCGGTGAGCTCCAGGTGGAGGTTTTTCAGGTTGTCATCTGCCTGGGCCATCGAGTTCTCGTCTGCAGAGCCCAAGCTGGCACTGGTAAGGGAGGACTGGATCCTACTGAGGAGGAGGCCACGGGCCAGGGTCAGGGCTCCGAGGGCCAGGCCTCACGACCTACCACCTGGGGCCAAAGCTCAACGCATGCCTTGCCCAGGGGCCGGGCCACACCCACACCTGGCCACAGGGCGCAGCAGCTGAGGCCCTGCCCATGGCATGGACTGCACCGTCCCCAAGGGACACCTCCTAGGAGAGACCCGGGCCACTCGCCATGAAAGGAGAGACCCAGGAGACGGGAAAGCCAGGGGCGACCCGCACGAAAGCACACGCGTAAGTTAGGCAAGGTTTCATGGCAGAGAGATTTAGTCATGCAGAGAGTGAGACCCGGAGACACCAAGATTGCACTCTGCCCACAGAGCTGGGCCCGTGACGCCACCCGCCAGGAAAGGCGCCACCTTCCTGGGAGGGGGGTGCCAGGTCTGGGCTTCATGCGCAGGGTGCACCCCAAACTTGTCCGTGAGCTCTGCCTGAGGCCAGCCCATCTGGCACCCACCCAGGTGGCCAGGAGGAAACCAGCAGGCCTAATTCTCATAGAAATTTCACAGCCGTTTGCCAAGTTTTGCTCATGATAAAGAATTTACTGGGCAACAGCTAGGAGGGAGGGCCTCACTGACCACCCCCACTGCCCACAAACTGCCCAGTCCACCCAGCAGAAGCCAACATGGGGCTGGAGCCCAAGCCACGTGCCAGTGCCGGGGTCGATGTCACAGGGCCTCCAGGTGAAGGGCAGGTCCCTGCTTGGTGCGCCTGGGCTGGCAGAGATGCCCCCAAGCAGGTGGCTGCAGGGCTCTGTCCCTGGCCAGCACACAATATGGTGCCCACAGCTGCCCAGACACCAGCAAGACCCCAGGCCTACCCTCTCGAGGGGACCGTGCTCAGAGGCTGGCCCCATGTCCACTGCCCTACACCGAAGCTCTTGGTTTCTTTTCAGGTACTACAGACACCAGACATTTCTAGAACAAAAGTCCACTCTAGAGAACACTTACAAGCCTAAACGCAGCAAAGCACGTCCCTGCTCCATGCAGCTGCTGCGCTGGTCTGCAGAGGCCCCTGCCGTCAGGGCAGGCCCGGCTTCCCCACAGCAGCCACCCCCGTCCTGGCCCTTGAGGAAGCCGGCAGGCAGGCCGTGCAGCCACCCTGTGCTCTTGCCAGGCGTGGGGACAGAATGCGACCTTTTCACCCATCGCTGCCAGGCTCCCCTGGGCTGGGGGCTGGGCCCAGCAGGACCCGCCCGGGGGCTACCTCAGGCTGCCCTCTGGCTCTGGCCAGGGGAGGCATGGGCAGGCGATGGAAGTCATGCAAGCAGCCCCATGCACCGCCACCCGGGTGCGCCCGCCAGGCCGCACGTCACGGGGCCAAGCTGTGGTCCGCACCCCCCGCCTGCCCGTGCACCACTACCTGCGCACCACCTGTTCAGACACACTGATGCTGCGGCCCCGGAAGGCCTCGGCCGCACAGCTCTCCTCGTGTTTTTTCACGGGTAGAGAGTTACTTGAGCCTTGTCTGGGGGGCCTGGCTATCCTTAAACTACCAGTGAGGAAGGAAGCGCCGTGCCCCGGACAGCCCACTCCCAGGGAGGGGAGGGCAAGCCAGTGAGGAGCGAGAAGGTAAGGTCACAGGCCACGGGATCGGATGGAGAGGTCCCGCAACGAGAGCAACAAGATACCGTGTCAGACGGACAGAGCGCGAGGGAAGACAGAAAACAAAACGCATGCGATACGACTCGTGAGTGGGGCCGTGAGCCCTGAGTGATGCCACCACCCAGACGGCGGTGCCAGTTACACCCTGGGGTTGCCCGCGTGGCAGGCTCCAAGCTGCGTGACCAGGCCTGGCTCTGGGGCCTCTGTGCACAGGCCCTCAGGTCCCCGGCCGGCCGGGCTGACGGTTGTTGGAAGAGGAGCCAGGTCTGGGCCTGAGGTCCAAGAACCCCAGGCCTGAGGCTCCAGCCAGTGGCTGCCAAGCCTGCTGCCCCTGGCCCCGGCTGCCAGGAGCTTGGGACAACAGCTTTTGAGTTTAGGCCCTGCTAACCTGGTCATTCTGGAAAATGCCACGTTCCCATCTAGGGAGAGCCAAAGAAGCTTGGGGAGGAGAGGGGGCATGGGAGAGAGCAGCCGGTCGATGAAATGCACACAAGAACACATAAGCCCAGCACAGCTCTCTCAGACGCGGCAAAAGCACCCACAGCACTGAAGGAGAGTGGGCTCTGATGCGGCAGGCGGCGGGGGGCTCTGGTGGAAGAGGGCCAGCCTGGCCAGGGGCGGGCTAACTACAGAGACCGAGGGCCACAGGGGTCTGTGGGCCATGAGGCTCCTCCCCACCCAGGCAGGGGCATTTTGGCTTCTCAGAAGCCCCAGCTGCCACGAGGCAGCCCTGAGCTTGCTCAGTGCAGTTGGCCCCAAACCCCAACCCCAACCCCCGGAATCCACACCCAGGCACAGGCGGCTGGGTCTGAAGCTGCCCCAAGGGCTCAGGCTCTGCAGTGCCGCAGCCGAACCGGGCCAGTGTGGCAAGGGGCAGCGCTGGGCTCAAATGCCTGTGGGGGCCCTGTCCTGCCTTACAAAACCCCAAGTGTCTCAGCAGCTGGCACAGCCCACCTGAGCCCACATCTGCCTGGAGAAAGAGGCCCCTGTACCATACAGCCCGGTCCTACACGCTGGCCTGGAGAGGTGATCAGCTTCCCGCCAAGTGTTCCCCTACCTGGCTCACAGTGCAGTCCCGCCCACCCCACCCAATGCTGGCACGCCCAAGGCAGGCCCCGCACCTTTTGGGCCTCTCGTTGAGACTGGTGCTCCGTGCTCTGAAGCTGTCCTTCTCGGGGGTGTCATTGAAAGACAGGAGAACGTTGGAGCGAAGGCCCTGGTGGGGTGACGCAGACCCAAACCAGCCTTGAGGCAGGCACCTGCATGCTCCTTCCTCTGCACCTGGCGGCTCTGCTGAGGTGTGTTCTGCACCCCCTGCTCCACAAGCAGGCCCCGCATGATGCCCCACCTCTCCCCCTGCCATCACCCTGCTCCAGCCACCGACAGCTGCGGCCAAGCAGGTCCTGCCCTCCCGAGGGATGCAGGCCTCCCTGGTCCTGGGCCCCGAGCGGAGCACTGGCCTACCTTAGTGATATAAGGAACAAAATCTTTCCGGAAGGGCAGGCGGCACCGAATGAACCACATGGCTATCACATGGTGGGCCAGGCACACGATGTACTGATTGAATCTGAAGAGATGGAAGGAGAGGCTGTGGACGCCCACCCTGTCCCCTGAGAGAACACTTGCCAAAAGCTAGGGACACGGGTCAGAGGAGCTGACCACAGGCTGTCAGTGCCAGAGGGCCCTGTAAGCACCCACCTGGGCTGGGCCTGGCAAACGGGGGTGGGGCCTGACAGATGAGGGTGGGGCCTGGGGCTAGGGGCAGAGCCTGGGGCTGGGGCGAAGCCTGGCCTGCGGGTGGAGCCTCGGGGACACAGGCAGCACTCACTTGGATGGGTTGGTGTAGGGCAGTGAAATGGCGAACACACTGGCGTACTGCTCGGCCGCGAAGTTCCTGTAGAGGTGCGGCAGCCGGGCCAGAGCTAGGCACCGGCAGAGACGGGGATCAGGGGTACCCAGGCAGCCCAGAAGGAGGCACCACGGCCACCAGCATCCCCAGAGCCGCTCCAACGCGGGACGGGGGATGCTATGAAGGAGCGAGGACCGCAAGCCCCCGAGCAGAGCTCACCGACCCGACCTTGGCTCTGTTCCAAACTATAGCGCCAGGCAGAACGTGGCCCATTGCCTGTTTGTGCGGCCCAGGAGCTGAGACCAGCTTTACCCATGTTTAAAGGGTTGTACACAAAACAGAAGAGGACACGAGGCGGACACCGTGCGAGGCCTGCAAAGCTGCAGCCGTTCATTCTGATGTTTCAGAAAGTCGGCCAGTGCCGTCTGTCCCTCCCACTGTGCGACATCTACGGGCCTCGGACTCCTAGACCCTGCACCAGGTACTAAGAACGAGGGGTGAACAGACCCCCTGAGCAGCTGAAGTCACTCTGAGGGGATCAGACAAAAACAGGCACGTCAGCACAGCCCTCCCAGCCACGGAGGGGAGAGAGGAGAGTGTGGCAGAGTGAGGGCAAGCGGGCCGAGAGGAAGGAAGACAAGAGAGGTGCGTCACAGGCAGGGTCACCGGGGTCAGAAGAGTCAGCACAGGTTAGCTGCGGGCAAGGCCCTGATGTGAGCAGCTGGCCTGGTCCCACACTCAAGGGTCTACCACACATGCACACACTTGTGCACATCTCCACACGTGCACACGCATCCACGTGTGTACACACAGAACATCCACGTGTGCACACACAAAACATCCACGCGTGTACACAGACGGAACATCCACGTGCCTGTACACACACAACATCCACGTGCCTGTACACACAGAACATCCATGTATATACACACAACACATCCACATGCGTCTACACACACAGAACACATCCACGTGCCTGTACACACACAGAACATCCACGTGTGTACACACAGAACACATCCACGTATGTACACACACAACATATTCACGTGCCTGTACACACACAGAACACATCCACATGTGTGTACGCACATGCACACGCACCCACGTGCACACGCACCCACGTATGTATACACACAACACATCCACAAGCCTGTACACACACAGAACACACCCACATGCATGTAGGCACATGCACCCACATGTGCCCACACACACACGTGCACACACGCACGTGCATTCCCAAGCACTCGTGCGCATACATACACAAGCGTATATATACACACACGTGTACACACGCACATACACACTCATACGCATTTACACGCTCGCTCCCGCACACGCACTTACTCGACAGGAACTCGAGCAGTGGGATGGCCATGTTGGCCGTGGCCGAGATGTGTGTAAGCTTCACAATCAGCACGGGCAGCGCCTTGATGATGACGTCAGGCATCTCCACGCTGCACACGGCCAGGGCCACCACGCAGTGGCTGGCACAGCGGTAGATGAGGCCTTGCTCCAGGCAGTACACCATCTCGCGCTGGGGGCGGACAGGCGCCTCAGGTCCTGCCTGCCCAGCAGGCCCCCGCACGCTGGCCCTGCCCGTGGAGGGACAAGTACGGCCCCTGCAGGCACAGCTGTCTTCCTGTGCCAGTTGCCTCCCCCGTGGGCCTGGTCTGCTCCTCACCCCGACTGCGGCTGGGGGTAATGAGGCAGCAGGGCCACATGCCAACACTGGGCGGCGTCCTCCTGTGACAACAGGCACAGTGGGCCCCGGCAGCAGACGAGGGATAGCTCAGGCCACGGCCCAGGATCAAGCCCTCTCCCTTTCCTGCCCTTTCCTGCAGTGGGTCCCCACAAACACCCACGGCCTCGAGGGCCCCGGGGAATCTTCAGCCCAGCACAGCCAGCTCCCCTCTGGGTCACAGCCAGTGAGAAATAGGCAACTTCCTGAACCCAACAGTCACCCAAGAAGAGCTGGGGCACATACAAACTGGGGGGCTGGGGACTCTAGCTGGAGCTGAACTTGAACAGTGGACAGTGTCCCTTGCCTATGGGTCAGACAGACTGAGGCTGAGCCTAAGCTCTGCTATGTGTTGGAACATGGCCTGACCCTGGCTACTCAACCCTGCTGCAAGTTCCGCTTCCTTGTCAGTGAGTGGGCGGGCACATTTCAACCTGCCAGCTCAGCACGGTGCCCTGCACCCAGCATCGCGTGGGAGATTCCTGCATCGGCCAGCAGAGGCAGGGGAGCCAGGCAGGGCCTGCAGCCACCCTGCTCACCCACCCTGTGTCCCCAAACAGACCCAGATCTGCCGACCAGCACAGTCACCTGTCCTAACACTGTGGCAGGAATAAGACAGGCAAGGGTCTCGGAAAGAAAAGGGATGTCGCGTTTGTTGGGGTAGGGTGTGGTATTCACGTTCAAGCGCCTCATGAAAGCCCAAACCCCCCAGAAGAGAACCTTCTCAGGAGCTCCAGCAGACTAAGCTGCTGCAGTCCGGGGCCAGGCTGGCCAGCAAGGTCTAGCAGCCACATGGGAACACGGAGCCAGCTCACCATCATCCCAGCCTAGCGACAACTCAGTTTACAAAGGAAATGCTGAGCCTATCTGGCTCAAGCCAACGTCCAGGGGGTCAGGCTTTCAGATTCCAGATGCTGTTAACACCCAGCTGTCCGCACCCACTCCATACCTGTTTAGTTTTGTCCAAGTAGTTGTGGTAAGAAATCAGTGCCGTCAGCACTGGAACCACTGCCAAGTGTAAGTCGGTTCTGGAGAAGCCTTCCGGGGTGCCTCGGAGCCGTTCCAGGGTCTTGGGGCCTGAAAGCTAACCGCAGGGCCCCAGACATCAGAAGCCTGGCCCGCGGGTGCCAGGGGGCCCGCAAGAGGAAGGGTCAAGGGTCTAGACTTCCTCTTTTGGCCATAGGTCCCTTCCTCCTTTTGCAGAGAAATGGGACAGTATCCCCCGCCAGGTGTGAGCCGAGATCACAGAAGCCCCAGGTACAAAGACAGGTGACAAAATGCAGCCACACTCAGTAACTGAGCTCGAACCCTGGACTGGGACCTCCGTGATCTACCAGTGAGCTGGGGCAGGTGGACGGCACTAATGCATTTCTGACCCATCGGCAGCCACCCCGACCCAAGGCAGGGCCAGTTCAGACTGGGGTTTTGTGTCCGAAGGAGACGGACTCACAGCCTGGGCCCATTCCACGGACCCTCCCAGGGAGTGGCTGTCTTGTGGAGGAGATGTTGAGCTGTGGGCCCCACGCCCACCCCCGACCTGGCGTGAGTGGCACAAGGTGGGTCCTGGCCACAACAGCTATGCTACCATGGAGCAGAGGGCAGAGGACAGCTGGTCGACGCTGCAGGGGGAGGTGAAGATGAGGACCTTGTAGCGCAGGGACTCTGGCAGCTTGCTGAGGACCAGCTTCAGCACCTTCCAGTCCGTCTCCTAAAAGAAGAAGGCCCAGTCAGGAGGGCCTTCTGAACCCAAGCTGCTGGGGGAAGACTTCTGAACCCAGGTTGGTGGGGGGGGCTGGTGGGGGGGGCAGGGTCCCTGGGACCCTGGAGAAAGCAGGCCAGAGGCCTCGGGACGCACGGCCTGTCCTCAGCCCTCTGTCCCTGCAGCACCAGGTGCAGCTCCTGGAGGGCGGACAGCTGCTCTTCTGACACCAGGCTTAGCAGGGAGGCCCAGCGCAGGGCTGCCACCTCCCTCTCCTGCCCTGATTGGGAGCTTCCATGCTCCTGGCTCCCTCTTCCCTCTGTTCTCCCAGCGATGACCCAGGGCTGCCTGCCCCTGGGGTTATGTCAAACGGTCCTGCCAGAGAAAGGCAGTCCCCTCACCATCTCCTCTGACAGATGCCCGCACAGAGCACCAGGTCAGTGTCTTCTGTGACAACAAAGACGGAGCAGAAACAAGCCACGATGAAGAGAAAAAGCAGCATGTAATCCCTCAGCCATTCACGAGCCCAGATGCTACCAAGGACCAAAGCTGCCCCACGGCCACAGGGCATGGTACCTACCCGAACATCACAAGCCAGCCCTCCACACCCAAACTCTACCCATAAGCTAAGCCAATGGCATGTCCTCAGACCTCCAGGGACACGGGGGCCCTGGACACTCACGGCTGCCACCAGGGGCCCCCAGTGCCAATGCCCACCTCCTCCTGGTGGCCCCACCTCCTGCCCACCCCACATCCTCACGCTTGGCCCACCCTGGGGCTGCAGAAAAGGCCCCAAAGTGGCATCTCCACCCACTGCACACCCTCCCACCTGCCTTGTACCCAGGCGGGCCCACCCTGCCCCAAAGCAGGCCCCTGATCACTTTCTCTTGCTCACCTCACAGGGAACAGGTCTCAGTTCTCAGGCTCCACAACTCAACCCCAGAGATACTGCCAGTCTTACAGAACCATACGCACCCCCTGTCCAGGCTCTGCTCACAGCTGCCTCCAGAACCTTCCCCACCTTGCAAGACGACCTCACCAGCCCCTCACAAAACCCTTCCAGGAGCCCAGCCACGTGGCCACAGCCACTTTTCAGCCCGTGAAGCTGCCTATGCCTTTCTCACAGGCTGGCTCAATCTAAAATCACAGTTATCTGTTCACACACCTTGTTTTGGGCACCAGAACCATCTTACGGAAGCAGGAACAGCCTCTCAGCTCCACGCCAGGACGTCAGCATGGAGCCCTGCACATAGCAGGCACTCAACGCTCAGTCAGAACTGCCGTGGGACCATGGGGCCTCCTCGAGGCAACGGTCTGACTACTAGGAGCGGTTTTGGGCCGAAAACCAGGCACACCCACCACTGCTCAGTCTGACCTAACGGGGCTCCGGGGTGTGAGAGTGTGAGGAGACCAGCCTCTCTCACCTGTTTCAGACACTGCAACAGGACTCGGAAGAGCAAGGAGTAGGGCAGGTAGCCGAACCGCACAGCGGGGCCTGTAGGCGCTGGGCTGGGAGGCCCCGTGGGAGGCGAGAGGGGGCCACTGGCCTTCTTCTCCAAGCCACACTCTGGCTCCCTGTGCCACCAGGTGAGAGAAGCAGCAGAGGCTGAAGCACCTGCTCTGCCAGGCAAGGACACCACCTGTCCCACCCTTGAGGACCATTCACACCTCTCGATGGGATCGGCATGGGCAAGCACCCACCAGGATCCCTCCTGGGGCCCCTCTCAGACACGCCCACCCAGGCGGAGCACCTCAACTCCCCCCACCCGCCCCAGGGCCACCCACGCCCCTCAAGTTGGGGAAACAGGAGCCATGCTGGCGTGGGGAAGGCGCAGCCCACCGCACGCACACGTAGTCACAGAGGCAGTAGGGGCTGAACCGTACGGCACCATCCTTGTTGGGCAGGCCCAGGCGGTGCAGCGCATCCGCCCGGAGCAGCAGCAGGAAGTCGAAGGCCTGCAGAGAGCAGAGAGGTGAAGTCTCAAAAGAGCAGGACACACAGGCCTGGGGGCGGAGGACGCCTCTGACCCCTCGGCCTGGGTGTGCTTGCTCCAGCTGCCCTTGGGAAAGGCTGCTCCTGCCTCCCACAATCTCCAACCTCCTCCACCCCACCGCCAGGCTTTATCCCAGGATGACGGAGCCCGGGAGGGGAGCAGAGAGAAGTGAGCCCCAGCCCAGGCCTGGCTGCAGAGCCCCTCAGCGCCTTCTCCGTCGGAGCCCACAGAAAGCCGAGGTGCTCCCTCTGCAGCACAGGCCACGGGCCCACCCACATCACAGGAAGCCTGCACTTCACAGCCCGCCAATGGCGAGAGCAGAGCTCCGCTTGGGGGGGGGGTGACCTCCCCCACTGAGACAGTCACTCACCGGGGCCCTACAGTGAGATGCTCTGGGAGAGACTGCGCATCCATCCCAGGGACCTTGGCCGCACCAGCATCAGCACTTGGAGCTGGGCAGGCAAGGGCGGCTGGCGGACTCACAGCAGCTGGTCCCTCCCCAACCCAGGCCCATAGCCCGGCTGCCGAGTGTGACTGGGGCTGCAGCGCCAGGGGCGCCAGGGCCCTTGTGCCCTCTTGGTGGGTGTTCTTCAGCTTCTCTGCCCCATCCCAGGCCCCGGAGAATGCCCAGAGTGATGGGTGGCAGCGGCGCACAGGACACGGGCAAGGGTCCCGAGGCGGCAGGGCAGCACTGGTTCTGACAAGGTGTGGTCTGCTGCAGGCCCTGCCAGGGCCGCCTGCCACCCTCCTCAGCCCTGAGGGCCTCCTGGGGAGTCTTGACCAGTGACCTGACCCCGAGGAAGGGCCTGGCTCTACCACAGTGCCACCCACCTGGAGCCGGATGCTGCTGGCGATGGGCAGAGTGTACATGTGCTTGTAATGCAGCTGAATGTGGTGGACGAGCATCTCGTATACCCGCGCCGCATGGCTGGCAGGCAAGGTGTAGAGCTTGGTCTGCAGGCAGAGCACACGGTCATGGCCAGGCAGGCCAGGACCACCCAGGAAATGGACTGTAGTGTCCAGGGTCCCACTCCCCAGTCCCCATGGCGGTGGGCGTGTCTTGAGCCGGTCTATGTGGAGACTCACGTGGACATTCCATGACTGGGGAATCAGGGTCACACCCAGGTCCCTACTTGTAACCACGACGCCCTCCAAACCCTTGGGGACAGCCCAGGTCTCCAGCCGCCAACCCTCCCAGCAGAGCCCACCTGAAGGATGACCAGGAGCCCCAGGACCGCAGTCTTCACATCCTCCAAGGACGCGGAGTACGCGGGCACGTCTCTTTCTTCCAGCTCAGGGGGAGGGAACAGGGAGCGAGCAATCACCTTGGAAGAGAAGATCTGGTTTTCACCCCCGGCTCCTGCCACAGCAGCTGCCAGACTGTCACCCAGACTACCAGTGACGCGTCCTTCTGTGTTTCTCACAAGGAAAGGTGTGCTCCGTGCACTTGAGGAATCAGACATCGCAAGGCATTTCAAGACGAAAGCAAGGACGTGCTGCACACCAAGGACAACAGCCCCTGCCCTGGGGCTCAAGCCCGGCTCCCGAGCAGCGGCCCCGACACCAGTTCCCGAGGGCCCCAGCCAGGCTGAGCAGCAGTAGCCCCAGACAGTCCCCTACACCACAGCTCTAGAAAGGGGGAGCTGCAGTCCCCTACACCACAGCTCTAGAAAGGGGGAGCTGGCCAGAGGCGGCCGCGGGTCAGTCTGCAGCGCACACACTATAGCCCGCCTATGTCTCGGGACCCAGTCTCTGCCATGGGAGGGATCCCCCGGCAGCCAGCCACCCCAGCACGAGCGGCCCTCACTTTCTCCACGATGTCCAGCAGGCTGCTGAAGTGGTGGGTGTGGCAGCCTTCCGCCAGGTCCACCAGCAACTGAGTGGCCAGCTTGCGGACCTGGGGGTCTCTGTCCTCCGGGATGTGGGAGAGCTGAGAGATGACTACCGAGTTGATCAGCTCCTCCTGGGGCATAAGAGAAAGCGGGGGAGCCCTCTGTAGGGCCTCGTGGTGCCCACCCTCAGCACCCTGAGCCTGGGCTCCCTGACACACACCTCATAGAACTGCCGGTTGATGAGCAGCACAAAGGACAAGACGTCCAGCACCTTGATGCGCACGGCGCTGCGGGACTCGTTCCTGGGGGCAGGGACAGACCTGCTGGGCCGTCGCCTGGGGGCACTGCTGCCCCAGCCCCAGCCTCCATCAGCCCCAGCTTCCACGGGCGGGGCTTTCCTGGGTGACCGATCCTGCAGGCCCAGCTCATCGCCTGCAGACCCACCCCATCTTCCAGGATGACCCCACACAGGAAGAAGCACACCCATGGCCTGGCTGGAGGACGCTGTCCTGCTGGGAAACGGGCCTCGCCCTGCTCCAGAACTGGCACTTCCCAGTCAGCAAGGAAAGCCCCAGCCGACGGCACGCGAAAGCCAGGCCTTGGGGCAGGACCCGGAGCCCGGAGGGCAGCGCAGCACCGATACCTGAAGAACCGCTCCATCAGCTGCTGCAGGTTGTGGATCCAGCCGTCCTTGGCTGGGTGGATGGACTGTGCCCTGTACGATATCAGGTTCAAGAGAGAGGACTCCTGGCAGAGAAGAGAAGCCCGGCATGACGGCACGCTCCGCCTGTCTGGAGATTTCTCATGCACGTGCCCCCGCACCACCAACTTGGGGACAGCGCCTGCTGAGGGCAGCCCCCGCCCCGTGGCCCAGGTCGGGAGTCCACACAGGACAACAAAGGCTCTACTGCAGCAGGGAAAATGATCAAAGGGCACACACGGAGGCCCTGGTGACAGCGGCACCCGGGGAGCAGATGTACTGAACGATGAGTCCCCGCAGTGGCAAAGCTTGCATGGCCCGCTGGCACCTGCCTCCACATGGGTGGGAGGAAACGGATGGTGAGGCTGGCGCCGAGCCCTCACAAGGCCCACGCGCACGCTGCCTGCTGGCACCCAGCCCCACACGCGCACGCTGCCCACAGGCACCCTGGCAGAGAGCCCCACCGTGACACACAGCCTGCGCCTTTGATGTCAAACGCTCTGTAGAGCTCTGTAGGCTTTTGCAGACCTGCACGGGCAGGGCTCCCCGGCCATCCAGGCCATAACCACCGAAGCCCCCCGCCCCAGGAGGGGTCTCACAGGTCTCTGGTCGGCGCATCGCTCAACGAGCTCAAAGTATCTCTCCTGTGAGCCGTGGAACTCGTTCTGGTCACACAACTCCTCCACCGTCGTCAGCAGGTCGTGTACGATGGCTCTGAGCTCTGGGCTCCCAAGGGTCTGCCGTACAAGGGAGTGACCCATGAGCGATGCCAGCTCCCCTCAAGATCCCTGCCTGAGATCTCAGCCAGACGGGTGCCACATCCACACACACACAGCCCCTCAGATCCTCCGCTGGGCAGGGGCACACACTGCCACACTGGGGCACGTGGGGTGGCCAAGCCGTCCCTGCCCACTCCTGCCCCCAGGATCTGGGCTACACCCAGGCCGCTGGGCCCAGGAGGGAACACGGGTGGGGGCTGAGGCTGCCACATTACGAGTGCTCTCACACCTCAGGCTCAGGCAGCTTCTCGAGGCCTCAGCACCACTGGGCCAGCCGGCCAGTGCGCATGGTCAGTGACATGGTCTGGCCTAGTGCCTGGCCCTGAGGGACCAGAGCTCAGGCCCTGCTGCAGCAGTCCTTCCTTCCACTGGCCTGGCCACCAGCACACTGCCCTCCCCAGTCCCCAAGGGGGAAGGCCCAAGGCTGAGCCCAGGCAAACGCTGCCTTGGCGCTCCGCAGCCCCTGCGTGGTGCACGCATGCAGTCTAGCGTCCTCCTCATTCTGTAGCCAACAGACTTGGCTTGCACTGTCCTCAGTTAAGACAAAACCGTGGCCGGCACTCTGGATGCCCTGGGAACTGGCTCCAGCACCTACTCACAAGCCTGGATGACCTGGAGCCTGTCAGTCTCCACCGAGCAGTGCAGCCCCCAGTTCCCTGACACGCTTTCACACAGGGCCCAAGTAACACAGCAGGCTTGGGAGGCTTCGCTGTGTCTTCAGTGGACTACAAGCTGACACCACAGGAACATCCCAGACCCAAATGGGCACTGGGGCAGTTCTGGGTGGTTCCCACTGCACAGGGCTGGGACAGCACCCCACCCCGATGCATGACCCCAGAGAAGAGCCGTCTGGGGCTGCTGTATGTGAGGTCAGCCCTGGCCCGGCCTCCCTGCCCGCTCACCAGGCCTGCTATATGTGAGGTCCACCCCAGCCTCCCTGCCCATTCACCAGGCCTGCTGTATGTGAGGCCCACCCTGCCCGCTCACCAGGCCTGCTGTATGTGAG